TAGATCTGTAAACAAATATTGAGAAAACTTTTCTAAAAAAATTACGATAGGTTGCTGGGCGCCGGTGGCTCAAGCCTTAATCCCAGCACTTGGTGAGGCCGAGACGGGTGGATCACAATGTCAGGGAGAGTCGGACCATCTGGTGCTTAAACACGGTGAAACCCGTCTCTACTAAAAAATACAAAAAAACTACCGGGCGAGTCTGGCGGCGCCTGTAATCCCGCAGCTACTCGCAGCTGAGGCAGGAGATAGGGCCGTAAACCCGGAGGCGGAGCTTGCAGGTGAGCTGAGACTCCGCGACACTAGCAGCACCCAGCTGGGTGATTAAAGCCGAGACTCCGCCGTCTCAAAAAAAAAAAAATAAATAAAAATACAAAATAAAAATTACGAAGTGGGTCCCCTCTACAAATACTGATATAAAATAGTTCACAATTATTTCTTAGGGTTTCACTGGGATTTGGGATTGACTGATATACTAGTGGTTTCAACTTGCAATTACAGACTACGATAGAGATAAGAGAAGAACACAAGCTGGCTATACAGAACAACTGATAAAAACAAGATACGATGCTTTTGCGTGAGAGAAGGTGATAAAGGCATGAAAAATTCGTGGTTTACAAAAATCATTTTTTCTAGTTTGAAGCTACTTAAAGCTCATCTGTCCAAACTGAGACGACGATAGGCGGGCGTGGTGGCGGCTCATGCCTGTACATCCCCAGCACTTTGGGAGCGAGGCAGGTGGATCGACCTGAGGTCAGGAGGCTCGAGAACCAGCCTGTGCCAACCATGGGGAACCCCGTTCTTACTGAAATACAAAAATTAGCCAGGTGTGGTAGTGGTTATCCTGTTTTCTCACTACTTCGGGAACTGAGGCAGGAAATTGCTTGAATCAGGAGGCAGACGTTTGCGGTGAGCCAGGATTGACCACTGCACTCCACAGAACTGGGAGACAGAGTAAGACTCTCGTCTCAAAAAAAAAAAAAAATCAAAGGAATAACAAAGATGCAGGTAAAACAAAATATAGAAAGTTAAGAAGAAAAAATTTAAAAATTATATGTAAGATTCTAAAAGGCTTAGAAAACCCTTGTCTAGTCACGAGAGGAGTGAGGATTGGATGACTTTTTTTTTTTGGAAACCAAGTCTTGCTCCTGTTGCCCGACTGGAGTCACAAAGGCACAATCTCACGCTCACTGCACCTCCGCCTCCCGGGCTCAAGCAATTCTCCTGCCTCGGCTCCCCGAGTGCGCTGGGAGACAGGCACCCTGCCACCATGCCCAGCTATTTTTGTATTTTAGTGAGAGCAGGGTTTCACATGTTGGCCAGGCGGTCCCGAACCTCCTGACCTCATCTGATCCTACCCCCTCAGCCTCCCAACTCCCAAAGTACTGGGATTACAGGCGTGAGCCACCACCCCCGGCCAGATTGATTTGTTTGTAAAGTTTTATGAAAATTAGTTTTAGTATTGATAAATATACTAGTCTAAAAGTAAAATTTGCTTCTCTCTTTTGAACAAGAATTTTTATGTGTATTAATAAGAGATAGTAATAATGATTGTTAATCTTTTGAGTAAACTGCGAGAGACAGAGAGAGAGAAAAGAGATTCTGTCTCATACTGTCTTTCTCAGTGTAAAAAACTGAATCCCTTCTCTAACAAAGAATACAGGTTTTTGCTTTTTAAAATCTTAGAAATATCACTTTGGCTAAAAGAATGACAAATCTACAGTCACCTGTAAACCTATTTTGCTTGAGTGTTTTAGATCTTTGACATTTTTGACAGGCTTCCCAAAATCACATTTAAATTGTAAAATCAGGCATCTTTTCAACTTCAAACTAATTTTGGGATGCTACTAAGGGCCCCTACCCTATAGTATCCAAAAAAGAGAGTGACAGAAGTATTTGATAAACTAAATTACATGGGAAGCACTGCCAAATAAGAAATGATGTTTAACCTTATTTGAGATATTGTTTATGAATACATCATTAATACGTGCTCCAAAATTGTATGGGATTCCTAAAATTCTGATACATCTTGGCACATGCTGTCACTCATAATTACAGTTATGTTAAGTTATTGTTGGCCACAGAAATAACCAAAATTCCTTGTCAATTCTGTCTTTAACCATGGCCATTTTAAGTCATTTCCATAGTTAATTGCTTTTCTCTGACGTTTCTGAAAACTCTTCACAAGCATGCACAATCCTACAATACTAAGTCTTCTAGGAGGTTCTTGAAAGGATAGAAAGGACCCTGGAAAAAAAACAAAAACAAACAAACAACAACAACAAAAAGAAATGACCCTGGTAAGCCCTCTCGAATAGGCTTCTGATAACTTTAGTGTAACATCATTTGGACTGGGTAAAAATTCCTGGAACTCTAACAAAAACATTGACTGGTTTATAAAATGGCTAACCTGGACATATAAAACATTGACTGGTTTATAAAATGGCTAACCATGGACAAAAATTAATTGAATACCAAGAAAATACTTTGCCAGCTTTTCATGCTAAATCAGCCAGTACCCAATTTGAATAAAATCCATAGTCCAAGTCAAATTACCTACGATAACCCTTCTAATAAACAGCGCTATACACCTGAATTGGAGAAACAAAATTGGTATTTAAGAAGATATAAGTCCAGTGTCAAGCATGGACACACGGACAGCCCAGATGGTCACCTGGTTCTTCCTGTGTCCTTAAACCTTCTATTATTAAATGCTCTGCATGCCATGACTCATCATGGAAGAGAAAAAATAATCCAAATTATATATATATTATATATATTTTTTGTATATACATATTATATATACATCAGATAGACATGTGTTTGGCATGGTGACTGTTGTAAGTTGTTAAAATGGTTTACGACCAATGTTTAGTTTGCCAACCCCATAATCCTGGGAGGACAATCAAAACTTCAATTATACTTCTGCTACTTGATGGGCCATTTAAACATTACTGGAGGGATTTCCTTCCATTGTCATTTTCAGTGCCTGTTTTCTGATTATATAGAAGCTTTCCCAGGCAAGAGCACTGATGTTATAGCAGTAGCTAAAAGATTATTAGAAAATTGTTTTTCTCGTGGGATGTTCCTTGAGAAATCTCCAGTGACAGAGGTATTTGTTCCACTGCTCAAGTGGAAAAACTGTTAAATAAGTTGTTGCAGATACAATAATATTAAAAGCAAGGGAACTGAATGAATTGGGCTGCCTTGGTCAAGGGTGTTGCAGGTAGATGGGCCATCGGGTCCATTTCCAGTGGAAAACATAGGTTGGCACCTTATGAAATAGTCCCTGGAAGGCCTATATAGAACCTCATGTATCTTCCACTCCTCATCTCCAATATGACTAAAGGCTCCAAGGCCTTAATGCATTATGCCTGAGTATATTTTACCAGGTACAGAAAGCTTTTCACAGTACACTGAGGACTCTACCAAGCCCTTCACCATCTAAAACTCAGACATTTGGTTTTCTGAGAGTATCACAGAAAGACTGTCCTTGCCACCCACACTGCAGTGAAACTTCAGGACTTTGAACCCTGGGTTCATTATCTCACAGCTCAAGAGGGCACCGCCAGACTCTAGGAACTGCAGCCCCATCGGAGATTTTAAGGTAAAGCTAATCAGGGAAGTCTCTCCCCAGAAGCAGACGGCATCCCAGACGTGAACAGCTTTTCCCCAAGAACCTATCTTGAGACCGTTATGCCTCTGAACGACAGAACTAAAAAGGGTCTCTTATGTGCGCTCATGGGGTGTACTTTTATTTGTGGAGGGTTTTGCAGCCAATCCTACACGTGGCCAACCTTTTGCCTTGACAGTTGGAAGATGAAGGGTCAATGTAGGTGGGAAAAAAAAATTTTTTTTTTGAGACAGAGTCTCTCTGTTGCCCAAACTGGAGTGCGGTGGTGTGATCTCAGCTCACAGCAACCTCTGCCTCCCGGACTGAAGCAATTTTCTTGCCTCAGCCTCCCAAGTAGCCGGGATTATAGGCACCCACCATCATGCCCAGCTAATTTTTGTATTTTTAGTAGAGACAGGGTTTCACCATGTTGGCCAGGCTGGTCTCGAACTCCTGACCTCAAGTGTCCACCTCGGCCTCCCAAAGTGCTGGGATTCCAGGTATGAGCTCGTGTGCCCAGTCCGGGTGAAAAATGTGAATGGTGCCTTTGTTGCTTTATAATCAGTCACAAACATCGGTCCATTCCTCCACATCACAGCTTAAAGAGAACTCTGGCAAGCGCTTCACTCTTCTAGATGGGCATCATTTCTGAGGCCTCTTTTTCCACAGTTTGGAGTAAACGAGGCAAAGATTTAAAATGTATCCCTCTGCCGGGCGCGGTGGCTCACGCCTGTAATCCCAGCACTTTGGGAGGCCGAGGCGGGCATATCACGAGGTCAAGAGATCAAGACCATCCTGGCTAACATGGCAAAACCCTATCTCTACTAAAAATATAAAAAATAAACTGGGTGTGATGGTGGGCGCCTGTAATCCCAACTACTCGGGAGGCTGAGGCAGGAGAATCACTTGAACGCAGGAGGTGGAGGTTGCAGTGAGCCGAGATCACGCCACTGCACTCCAGCCGACGGAGCGAGACTCCGTCTCATAAAAAATAAAAATAAATAAAAAGTATCCCTCGTAATTGGCTCTAGAACAGATTCTACTCCAAAGGCTATGGTTACACAACAGTCCTTAAATTCTCTTGCTAAAGGTGTGTGAGATGACAGGCTTGCTCTGGATTCCTTACTAGCTAAACAGAGGAGTATCTGTACCATTGCTGACGCTTCGTGTTGCACATGGAGGAATGTATCGGGTATTAGAAAGGTTCGGTTGTAGGGGATTAACAAACAGGCTGCTTGTTTGAAATGAGTAGACTCTTTATCTAGCTCACTCTCTGATCCGTTTGATTTTTGTTGGTTTGGTTCACGGGACCCCACCTAAGGAGCATGCTCCAAATTCTTGGTATTAAATATGATCTTCCTAACAGTCATAATACTCATCTCCCTGGTGCTCTGTATTCTCTCAGAAGTTTTACATGTTTGCACGCAGCCATCTGTAGGATGTTAAATGGTGTCTCTTTGACGGAGCAACAAGAACTCAAAGAAACACACGGCCATGAGGACATCGTAACCCACGAATGACATGCTGTGACCAGGAGCCCGAAGTGGCAGTGACTGAGGGGGGTGCTAAGGCCCTAAGGCTTGGCTACACTTTCCACTAAATGAGAACCTGACCAAAGGCAGGGAATTTTTACACAACATTATAAGAGGCCATTGTTTTGAACTGAGCTCCTGCAAGAGGCCCCAACAGATCAGACCAAACGCAGATGGAGTCACGCAAGCTAAATGTGACACCATCAAACTGAAGCTTTAGGGAAGCGGATAGGTCCTAAGGCAGACCGGGGATTGTTTTTCTGAGCACATGAAATTCCAGTACAAGGAGGTTGCTTTCTATTCCTTACAAAAAACAGAACCCTAGGTCCTCGTTCCCACTTACGAAACCCATTGTTCTGCTATTTCCCAGCGGGACTTGGGACCAAATACGTACATTTACGATGGCGACAGGGACGTCAACGTCTAAAGGGGGAAATCGTTAAATTAATCTTGGCGTAAAACTGCCTCCTGACATAGTTTATGTTCCGCCTTCTCCATCCGCCATGAACTGAAACCTAACTGGAGATGTAAACAGACTGAAACCTGCCCTTGTGTCACTCACCGGGTTTCCGCTCATCAAGGGTGCCGGCCATTCCAACCGTGTTCAGATAAGGCAAGCGTCGAGCTGCAGCCCCTCCGGTGGTTTCTGGGCTTTGCTTCCATTTTCTGTACCTCCTTTCCTTTTTCTGTCCACCAATCTTCAGCCATGCAGCAGTACCGGAGCCTCTCGGAACCTATTTGGGTCTGGGGGCTGCCCAATTAGCGAGTGGTTCTTTGCTTCATTAAACTCTGTTAAGTTTAATTTGTCCAAGGTTTTTCTTTTAGCGGTACAGAAAAGCATTTGAAAAATCCAACATCGGTTCCTGATTTTTTTAAAAAACACCACTCAGTAAATTAGGAATAGAGGGGACTTTCCCAACCTAATACAGGATATCTATGACAACCCCACAACCAGTGGTGGAAGACTGAACATCTTCTCACCAAGAACAGAAAGGAGGCTGGGATGTCTGCCTTCATCACCTCCATCCAACATTGACCTGGAGGTTCCTGCTCGTGCAGTTAGGCCCCTAAAAAGAAATAAAAGCCATACAGACGAGAAAGGAAAAAGAAAACAATCTTATCTACAGATAACGTGACCATCTAACCCGATGGAATAAAAAACAAAAAAAAAGCTACAAGAATTACTAAGTGAGATGAATAGGGTTAATGGAATAACAAGACTGATCTACAAAGGCCATTGTGTTTCTATAAAATGGTAATCAACTATCAGATATTGACATTAGAAAATACCACTTCCTAACTGTATAAAAATAGACAATACGCAGAGGTCCATCTGACAAAAGATGTGAAAGACCTCCAAATTGAAAAAGTAAAACATTCTTGAAAGAAGTTGAAGAAGACCTGAATAAATAGGGACATCCAAGGTTTGTGGATTAGTAAGCTCAATACTGTTAAGATGTCAACTCTCCCTACATTTGTATAAATTCACAGGTCCATTCTAAAATCCATATGGAAAAGCAGAGGAGGTAGAAGAGCTCAAACAATCTGGAAAAAGAACACAACTGAAGAGCTAACATTCTAAGAATTCATATTAAGACCAGAGTAATCAAAACTGAATGATACTGGTGTAAAAATACTCAAATAGATCCAAAAGAAAATGGTCCAGAAATAAGCTTACACATACATACTGATGACTTTTTTTCAGGCAGGGTCTCGCTCTGTTGCCCAGGCTGGAGTGCAGTGGTGCAATCTCTGCTCACTGCAGCCTCAAATTCCCAGGCTCTAGGGATCCTCCCACCTCAGCCTCCCAAGTAGCTGGGACCACAGGCACCCACCACCACGCGCAGTTCAGACTTTTGACAAAGGTACAAAGGCGACTTGGTGCCCACTTGTAGCTTCTTCAAGAAAGCATGCTGCAGCAATTTCATATTCAGGAACAACTGGATCTCCACATGCAAAAAGAAAAGAAGAATTTGCATTCATACCTCACACTGTACACAAACATGGACTCAAAAAGGATCATGGGTCTTAATGCAAAGCTGGAACCATAAAAACACAGGAGAAAATGTTTATGACTCTGGATAAGGCAAAGATTTCTCAGACATGATACCAAAAGCACAATTCCTAAAAGAACAAATTGACAAACTGAAATTCATCAAAAATGTTTAAAATTTGCTCTTCAGATGGTCAACGGTGAGAAGACAAGCCACCAACTAGGAGAAAAATCTTTGCAAATCTATTTCATCAAGGACCAATTCAGAATATATATTAAGAACTCTCGTGGTGGCTCAGGCCTGTAATCCCAACACTCTGGGAGGCCCAGGCAGGTGGGTCACTTGAGGTCAGGAGTTTGAGACCAGCCGGACCAACATGGTGAAACTCCATCTCCACTAAAAATACAAAAATTAGCCAGGTGTGGTGACAAATGCCTGTAATCCCAACTACTCGGGAGTCTGAGGCAGGAGAATTGCTTGAACCTGGGAGGCAGATGTTGCAGTGAGCCAAGATGGTGCCACTGCACTCCAGCCTGGGCAACGAGAGCAAAACTAAAAAAAAAAAAAAAAAAGAAAGAAGAAAGAAAGAACTCTCAGACTTAACAATAGGAAAACAAATAACCCAATTTTACAGCAACAGGCAAAAGATCTGCACAGATGCTTCCCCCAACAAGATATATCAGTGGCGAAGTAGCACGTGCAAAGCTGCACAGCGCCGTTGGTCCTTGGAGACACGCAAGCCAAAATCACAGACCGCACCCTACACGTCTAAGAAGGGCCAAAGTCAGCGAGATGAACCACTCCAACTGCAACATGAAATGAGAACTAGGCCGTTTCTGAACAAGTTTCACACACACTTCCCACGGCATCTAGTCATTTTATTTCTAGGTCTTTCCCCAAGAGCAAAGGAAATGTATGTCCTTCTGAAAACCAGAGTGTGAATGCAAATGGCCACATTACTTTCCATCGTTCAAAACTGGAAACCACCCTGATGTCCACCAAGAGATGAACAGATGAGCGGGGTGGGGTGTACCCATGCTGTGGCAATAAAAATGAGTGTTTACAACAGACACAGCAGCAAGCATGGATCTCAGAATAGTTACGCTACGTGACAGACGTCAGACAAGGAGTGCATGCGTGCTGCAGGGTGTCATGTAAAAAAGCACAAACACTTGGGTGCAGGGCTCATGCCTGTAATCCCAGCCTTGGGTGCAGGGCTTATGCTTATAATCCCAGCACTCTGGGAGGTGGAGGCAGGAGGGTCACTTGAGCCCAAGAGTTTGAAGCCAGCCTGGGCAACATAGCAATACCTCGTCTCTACAAAAAAAATAAAAAACTTAGCCAGGTGTGGTGGTGTGCACCTGCGGTCCCAGCTACTCGGGGAGCTGAGGCAGGAGGATCCGTCGAGCCCAGGAGGTTGAGGCTGCAAGGAGCTCTCATTGTACCACGGCACTTCCACACCCCAACCTGGGAAACAGAGACCCTGTCTCAAACACACACACACACACACACACCACAACACACACCACCAGCCTGGGGAAAACAGAGACCCTGTCTCAACACACACACACACACACACACACTCTCCAGCCTGGCGAAACAGAGACCCTGTCCTCAATACACACACACACACACACACACACACACACACACTCCAGCCTGGGAAACAGAGACCTGTTCAACAACACATACACACACACACTCCCACACTCCAACCTGGGAACAGAGACCCTGTCTCAAACACACACAACACACACACACACACACACACACACACCCCAGCCTGGGAAACAGACACCTGTCTCTCTCACACTCTCACACACACACCACACTCCAACCTGGGAAACAGAGACCCTGCTCAACACACACACACACACACACACACACACACACACACCCCAGCCTGGGAAACAGACACCCTGTCTCTCTCACACTCTCACAACACACACACACACTCCAACCTGGGAAACAGAGACCTGTCTCAAACACACACACACACACACCACACACACCCCACCTGGGAACGAGAACCCGTCTCAACAACACACACCAACACACACCACACACACCACCCAGCCTGGGAAACAAGACCCTGTCTCAAACACACACACACACTCCCACACCTCCAGCCCTGGAAAACAGAGACCCGTCCAAAACACACACCACACACACACACACAGCACACACCCCAGCCTTGGAAACAGAATCCTGTCCCAAACAACTACACACACGACCACACACTCCAGCCTGGGAAACAGAGACCCTGTCTCAAAACATAACACACACACCCACACCCCACACCCCCCCCCACCTGGAAACAGAGACCCTGTCTCAAACACACACAACCACACACACACACCCCAGCCTGGGAAACAGAGACCCTGTCTCAAACACACACATACACACACACACACACTCCAGCCTGGGAAACAGAGACCCTGTCTCAAACACACACACACACACACACACACACCCCCCAGCCTGGGAAACAGAGACCCTGTCTCAAACACACACACACACACACACACTCACACAAGCAGAAACCAACCAGGACACTGGTTGCTCGGGACTGGGAGGTCCAGGGTGGGAAGGAGAGTCACACAGGGCACCGGGACAATTTTGGGGCAATGGGTGCGTTTGTCTCCTGATGGGGTTGGCTTCATGGCTCTCTCTGTAGATTAAGACCGGTGGAATCGTACAGTTTAAACATGGCAATGACTGCATGTCAATGACACTCCCAACGAAGGTGTTTTTAAAGAGTAAAAGGCAAATGACAAAACTGGGAATATACTTGGAATCAAGTATGACAGAGAAGGAGTAATGTCATTCATACATTAAAGGCACTTGGAAAAACACGTAAGGAAAACATTCCCACCCTAACTAGTTTGCTCAGGCTGCCGTAACAAAGCACCAAGTCCAGGGAGCTTAAATGACAGACATTTGTGCTCTCACAGTCCTGGAGGCTGGAGTCTGAGATCAAGGTAGAGCCGGTTCCTCTTGAGGCCTCTCTCCTGGGTTTGCAGATACCACCATCTCCCTGTGTCCCCAACAGGGCTATCCCTCTGTGCATGTCTGTGTCCTCATCTCCTCTTCTTATAAGCACACCAGTCCTGTTGGATTAAGACCCACCCATATGACCCCATTTAATTTAATTATGTCTTTAAAGACTCCATCTGCAAAAACAGTCACATCCTGAAGCACTGGGGACTAAGGCTTCAACATACGAGATAGATATATATGTGTGTATATATATACACACACACATACATATATATATATTGAGATGGATTTTGCTCTGTCACCCAGGCTGGAGTGCAGTGGCACGATCTTGGCTCACTACATTATATCCTCTACCTCCCAGGTTCAAGTGATTCTCCTGCCTCAGCCTCCCTCGTAGCTGGGACTACAGATGCCCGCCACCACGCCTGGCTAATTTTTGTATTTTTAGTAGAGACGGGGTTTCACCCTGTTGGCCAGGCTGATCAACCCCTGACCTCAGGTGATCCGTCTGCCTCGGCCTCTCGAAGTGCTGGGATTATAGGCATGAGACACAGGGACTGGCCTCAAGGTAAGAATTTTAAGGGGGACACAATTCAGCCTGTACAAAAAAATGAGCAACAGACAGAGGCAGCCAAGCCCTGGGATCCGAAGTATGAGCAACTGACATGCACACGCCACTACACCTGGCTCACTTGTCTATTTTTTGTAGAGACGGGGTCTCACCATGTTGCCCAGACTGGACTTAAACTCCTGGAACTTAAACTCAATGATCCACGCGCCTCGGCCTCCCAAGGTGTCAGGATTACAGGTGTGAGCCACCGTGCCAGGCCAAGGCTGCAGTTTTCAATGAGGTGGTGAACGAGGCCTCCCTGGGAAGAGGGCGTGGCAAGTGTCGGGGTCAGGAGGAGAGGGTCAGCATATGCCCAGGCCCTGAGGCCTGGGAATCCCAAGCACTACAGGGGCACAAAAAAGCCATGTGGACCCTCAGAGGCCCCCAACCATGCCATGTGAGGGGTTGACTATCTCTGTCACCCCCTCTTCGTGGCACCCGAGAGCAGGGTTCCTAGGAGGGCAAGAATGGTGGGGGAACTGGGATTAAGAAGGGGCTCCTAGAATGGGGGCACTGTTGAGCCCTAGGCCACCAGGAGCAGGTGCTGGGCAGGGGCTCTGCTGCTGCAGCAAAGGGCCAGGTTGCCTGGGATGGTGGGAGGGAGCTGGAGAGGGGGGAAGGAGGGGGAAGGAGCAGGAGGGGTCGATGGAGAGACAAGAAGTCTCTAATGGCAGCTGATTCTGAAGGGCTTCGTGAGGGAAGCACCAGCACACCCCCACCTGCTGTCCTGGTCCTGCCCAAACGCAGGCCTCCCACATGGGTGGGGGGCCTTCTCTTCTGGTTGGGGGAAATGCCAGGTGGCCACGTGTGTGGCTGGTGATCGCAGGCTGGTGCTGTAAGGAGCTTTGAGGCTGCAAGGAGCTCTCGCTGTGTCACTGCACTTCCATACTCCAGCCTGGGAAACAGAGTGAGACCCTGTCTCAAAACACACACACACACACAGACACACACACACACACACAGACACACACACACACACAGACACACACACACACACACAGACACACACACACACACACACAGCAGAAACAGGCTGGGTGCGGTGGCTCACGCCTGTAATCTCAGCACTTTGGGAGGCCGAGGCGGGCGGATCACAAGGTCAGGAGATCGAGACCATCCTGGCTAACACAGTGAAAACCCGTCTCTATTAAAAACACAAAAAA